TGTAGAGATGAGGTCTCGCTGCCCAGGCGGGTCTCGAACCCGCGGGCTCAGGCAGTCCACTCACCTCAGCCTTCCAAGGCGCGGATTACAGGCCACTGAGCCCGGCACCAAGGGGATTTTTTAACAAATTTTTTTTCTTTTTAACTGGATAGGCTTTGTTTCTTAATGGTTTTTGGTTTGCAGAAAACTTGCTCAGAAAGCAAAGAAAGTTCCTACATGCCCACCCCACCTCCCCTTAGTGCCCGCGCTGTGGGCAGCCTTGTCCCAGTGGGTGACCAGAGACGAACACCACCATTAACGAGGGTCCGCAGTGTACAGGGGGCACTCTGTGCATGTCCTGGGGCCTACAGGATGTCCCCGGTGTTTGACCGGCAGGGGAGCTTGTGGCCTGACACCCAGTGCTTCTGTCCTTCCTCCCTAGCCCCTGCCTCTGGTCTGTCCTGTCTCCGCTGTTCTGCCTTTTCCAGGACATCCTGGAGTTGGAGCCACACAGGTGCAGCCCCTCAGACGGGCTCCTCTCACCCAGCGACAAGCACTCGTGGCTCCTCCGTGGCTTGAACTCATGTCTTTTTTTTTTAAATCAGGGTCCACCTCAGTCTTCTGAGTAGCTGGAGCCATAGGCACCACCATGCCTGTCTAGTTTTTTATTTTTTGTAGAGACGAGGTCTCGCTTTGTTGCCCAGGCTGGTCTCAAACTCCTGGGCTCAAGCGATCCTCCTGCCTCAACCTCTCAAAGTGCTGGGATGACAGATGTGATCCCCTGCCCGGCCTGAGCTCATATCTCTCCAGCCCCGAGTGGTGTCCCGCCATCTGGGTGGCCCTCATCCATCACCTGCTGCAGGACACCTTGGTCACTCCCAAGGTGTGACGACTGCGGACTAAGCGCCACGAGTAGTAAGACGCCTGTGGGTGCCAGCCTGGCCTTCTTCCACGGAGTGGGTACCAGATGCCCTGTGAAGAGCAAGGGCCTGAATTCTCGTCACACCCTCTGTCCCTGGGGGACACTGGGGCTCCTCCCACTACAGAAGGAAACAAAGCAGGCTTCTCGGCTGGGGAACTCCAGCTAGTGGAGGCTGGGCCTCAGAGGCCATGCAGGGCAGGTGGGGCCGTGGTGGGCGTCTCTGGTTGGGGCGGCTGTGGGGTCCGCTCTCAGTGAAGCGCTGGGGGCTTCCTCTGTCTCCTCCCCTCCAGCTCCCTTCTCTAGCCCCTCCTCCTTCTCTAGCCCCTCCCCTTCTCTAGCTCCTCCCCGTCTCCCTCCTCGCCCCGCTCCTCTTCCTCCCTCCGCCCCCTTTT